GGGCCCCCAAACTAGTAGCAGTATCAGTAGCAGTAGCAGTAGTAGTAGTAGCAGAACGCACATATCATGACGGTAATGTCTGGAGCTGGGGAGCTAACCTACTCATGCTCCCAAGTGCAAGCTAGCGTGTCCCAGTCGCGTGGCGATGAGAGGCCTGCCGAGGCTGCTACTCATGCTGGCGCTATGCCGATGCTCCCCTGTCCCACGTAAAATGGGGACAATTTGTGTACCATCTCTGCCCCCCCTTCTGAAGGGGGGCGTGAAAGGGGGGGGGGACCTGCCCAAGATGGGGGGCCGCGGCATGAGGATGTGCTACACGGACACGCCCAACTCAGCGAGGGCGCTGCCCCTGCAGCCGCCGCGGACGGCGACGTCGTGCGTGAAGCTCCCGTCAGGGAGAGCCAGGAAGAGGCCGGTCGGGAAGAGCGGCCTGGGCAAGGGGACGAGGAGGCGGCGAGAGGCGAAGAAAAGGAGGAGGCAGCGGCGGCTGCTGCTGCAGCTCCGGGGGATGCCATTCCCCCCTCGGCTGCCGGAGGCACTCCTTTTGCCCCAGCCCCAGGGGCGGTGGCAGGCCCGTCCAGATGGGGCGCGCCGCTCGCGCCGGAAGCGGCGGCGGCCCCAGTTGATACCAAGCATGGGGCAGCCTCCCAGGGCTCAGACGCCTTCGGCTTCGGCGTCGACGACTTTAGCGAGGAGATGGCCCTTGCAAAGGAGCAGCCCCCCGAGAATGCATGCGAGGGCAGCGGGCCGGTCGGCGACACGGGTCCTGCAGGCCCAGCCGGAGGCGCGGCTGCCAGTCCCCAAAGCCAGGAGGGACGCGTCCCAGGGCACGTGGAGCTGCACTTTGGCCTCGACGACCAGGTCCTGGCCAGGCACGCGTGGAGGGCTAGAGGGCACGCTCTCCTGCGCTGCCGGGTGGCGGAAAACCCCCAGATGCGCTTCGTGTTCTGCCTGCGGTGCGGCGGGGTTTTGGCGGGCCGCAAGCCCGGCAAGCTGCTCAAGAACTTGTGCCGAGGGCGGGGGTCCAGCGCAGGCAAAGAGCAGCTACGGCTGGTGCGCCTGTTGCGCTGGCCCCACTACGGCAAGGGGAGACAAGGTGGAGCGCTCGAGGGGCCCTTTGCCCTAGGGCCCGAGGAGCAGCTGCAGCTCGTAGGCGACCTCCAGCTGGAAGGGGGCCTGCCCGCGGCAGCGAGCGGCGGGCGTCGCGCTGCTGCTGGCGACGAGCGCCTTCCCGCCACGCCGGCGGATGCGCCAGAGCCCCAGGGCAGGCGGCCCGAGCCGAGGGCGGCGCGTCTCTTCCTGCTCCGCTGCTACGGGCTCACGGAGGACGACCTCGAGGAGGTCCGCCGTGTCGGCCGCGAGGCGGCCCGCACCCAGGCTGCCGACGCCTCCGACATAGTCTCCGAGGAGGCGGAGCTCGTGGGCTATAGAGGCCTGCTGAGGCGGCCCCGGCGCCAGCCCCTTGCCAGTGCCCTCCAAGGCAGATGGACGAGGAAGGTCCAGCGAAAACTACTTTAAGATGGGCGAGGCGGCGAGGGCCACCCCCATCGATCGTTTGACAGTGCGCAGCAGAACCAGTCGTCCGTCGGCCTGTCGGCCGCGCTTCGGCGCATGTACCCTTACCCTTACCCTCCTCCTCCTGCTCCTCCTCCTCCTCCTCCTCCTCCTGCTCCTCCTGCTCCTCCTCCTCCTCCTCCTCCTCCTGCTCCTGCTCCTCCTCCTCCTCCTCCTCCTCCTCTTCCTCCTCCTCCTCCTCCTCCTCCTCCTCCTCCTCCTCTTCCTCCTACAGTCCTATCCCTTCTGAGAAACTCCTCCCTGTCGCGCACCCCGAGGCCCGTCGGAAGGGCGAGCTGGGCGCTTCGCCTGAGACCTCTTCACATTTTGTGAGCCTGAAGCTTTTCAAGACTGGCAGCAGCTTCACAGATGGAGGGCTGGTGGTTTTCAAAATTGTGGTTCTCGCCGTGGCGCCGCGCACATGCATGCGTCTTGACACCTCGTTAAAGCATCCCGCCCCCTTCTATTCGCGCCTCCGCTCAGAGAAATGCGGGCGCAGAGCGGAGCCAGCTGGTCGGCCCGACCAGGGCGGACAGCGTGACGACTCGGGCGTGGCTTTGGCTCGCTGGACTGCCTGAGATTTTGAGAAGTTCGCCTTGGGAACTCCGATGTCCAGTCCCTGTGGGAGGCTCTGGGGCGTTTTTTTTCTTCTGTCTTGGTCTGGGTGCGGCTTTCGCTGGACTGCCAGAGATTTTGAGATGTTCGCCTTGAGAACTCCGATGTCCAGTCCCTGTGGGAGGATCTGAGGTGTTTGTTTATTATGTCTTGGTCTCGGCGTGGCGTTCGCTGGACTGCCTGAGATTTTGAGATGTTCGCCTTGAGAGCTCCGATGCCGACTCCCTGTGGGAGGCTCTGATGCGTTGTTTCTTCTGTCTTGGTCTCGGCGTGGCTTTCGCTGGGCTAACTGAGATTTTGAGAAGTTCGCCTTGAGAACTCCGATGCCCAG